CCCCCTTAGGTGTATGTGGCTGGTGCCTTAGCCACTTGAGCCGCTGGCACTGAGCCAGGTCATGGGATTATTTCCAGGAAGTCATAGTTCTCTAGAGAAAGGCACTTGGGCTTGGCTCTTTGTGTACTCAGTCATGCCTCAAAGCATTCCATAATGACCAAAACTGCTACTAGGGCTCCCTTTGTTCTGAATCAAGCAGAAATGAATGGCAAAGCTCAGTGCCTAGAGTAAACCAAGGGACCTGTTGAAGGAAACTTCAGCTAGATTTCCCATTATGTACCTTATCTTTATAGCAAAGGTTTTGTGTTTTTTTTGTGAGACAGCGTCTTACTCTGTCACCCTTGGTAGAGTGCACTAGCGTCATAGTTCACAGCAACTTCAAACTCTTGGGCTTAAGTGATTCTCTTGCCTCAGTCTCCCAAGTAGCTGGGACTATAGGCACCCACCACAACGCCTAGCTATTTTGTTGTTGTTGTCATTGTTGTTTAGCAGGTCCAGGCTGGGTTCCATCCCACCAGCCCCAGTGCATGTGGCTGGTGCCCTAACCACTGAGCTATTGGCACCAAGCCAACAGCAAACCTTTTGAAAAATAAAAATAGAGTAGACTGGGCGGTGCCTGTGGCTCAGTGGGTAGGGCACCAGCCCCATATGCCGAGGGTGGCAAGTTTGAGCCCGGCCCTGGCCAAACTGCAACAAAAATAGCAGGGCGTTGTTGTAGGTGCCTTGTAGTCCCAGCTACTGGGGAGGCTAAGGCAAGAGAATTGCCTAAGCCCAGGAGTTGGAGGTTACTGTGAGCTGTAACACTACAGCACTCTACTGAGAGTGATACAGTGAGATTCTGTCTCAATTAAAAAAAAAATACAGTAGACTGCTTAAATAAAACCAATCTTTTAATGTTAGTGAATCCCTTGAAATTTTTTGCTTTCATGTGTTTACACCACTGTGAGACTTACTGGGAAGTAAAGTCAAGTCATTTGGAGGAATTTCATTACATTGAATAACTTTGATCATTTTTATTTGTCTCAGCCATAATAGTCTAATTTCCAAAAGGCACAATCATTTTCTGAAGCCCTGACTGCCTAATGGTTTCTGTGACACTGAAAGGTAGAGGAAGGAAAAGATATTTTAATTAGATAATTTTATTATCATTAATAGAATGATAAAAAAGGCCCCAAACTGTTTATTTTACATTATGTATAGACCCATTGACTATAGTGCATATCTCGAAAAAGCTTTGGAGATCAATTTTTCTAACTTGCCAAGTTTATATTACTATAATGGAGATATTAACCTATGTAAGGACAAGGCGGTATCTTGAACATAATGGCTGTTCGATAATTACCATGGAACCATTGTGGTGGAGCTGCATCATTTTGTCATTTAACTATCCAGCCAGAATAAGCTCTTTTCCCTTCTTCCTACTCAAGCAATTACAAGAATTCCTAAGGAATTCTGACACTGGTAATTGCCCGTGTTGGGACTTGTGACAGAACTATCTAGTAGGCCTATGTCAGAAATGCCAACTGGAAAAGACAGCAGAGGCCAGGTTCTCTGCAGCTTTAAAGAGAAAAGGGTCTTTGAGGGTCAGGTCAAGCAAATACTACTGAGCACCTACCTTTAATAAGTCATGTACCAGCAATATACACGAACACTATGTAATTGTCAAAAGCATTTATTATTGAACATTAGGGTTAGAGAGGTGTAGTATCAGAACAGAATTGAGTAAATCCTACAAGGAGGTGGAAGGTCTCTGCATTGCTCTACTCATTTTTCAATCAACGTTAGCCCAAAGCTGTAATTATAAAAGAATATTTTGAAAGTACAGGTGTCGGTGTTTTCATGTACTACTTCTTGTAGAAAAGCTCATTGGGACCAGGAGTGGTGGCTCATGCCTGTAATCCTAGCATTCTGGGAGGCTGAGGCAGGTGGATTGCCTGAGCTCATAAGTTTGAGACCAGCCTCAGCCAGAGCAAGACCTCATATCTAAAAATAGCTGGGGGCTCTGTACCTGTGGCTCAAGCAGCTAAGGCACCAGCCACATACACCTGAGCTGGAGGGTTTGAATCCAGCCCAAGCCCACAAAGTGCCTGTAGTCCCAGCTACTTAGGAGGCTGAGGCAGGAGAATCACCTGAGCCCAGGAGTTGGAGGTTGCTGTAGTCCCAACTACTTGGGAGGGTAAGGCAAAAGAATTGCTTGAGGCCAAGAGTCTGAGGTTGCTGTGAACTATGATGGCAC